AAAAAAAAAAAATTTAAAGGCAGGCAGCAAGCCTGTGCAAATTGCAGCCAGCCTGCACAGCAGCAAGCTGCCTGCACAGCTTGCTGCTGTAGGCAGCAAGCAGCTTGTTGTAAGCAGGTAGCTTGCAACAGGCAGGTTGCAAGCTGCTTGCCTGTAGCTCAGGGAAAAAAAAAAAACCAAAAAATTCGAGCGGGCTCGGCTCGGCCCCTTTAAGGCTCGGGCCGAGCCTCATTTTTTTGGTCGGGCTCAGCTCGGCTCGGCTCGAACCAAAAAAAGTTTGGGCTCGACTCGTTGACACCGCTAAAAATACCTCGAAATCTAACCGAACCCAAATTGGGTCGATTTTGAACCTATTCGGTTTGATGGTAAGGTTGTGCCAACTCAATTCATGTCCAAATTAGGTCGATTTTTTGAACCTGTTTTGTTCAATTGTCAGGTTGTACTTGAAATCGACCAATTGGATTCATGCCCACTTTTAATCACACGTGTTACTCCTTAAGACAGGGGAGGGGCTGCTAGATAGGTGGGCAGCTGCAACGTCTGGTGTTTGAGAGGAGACAATTAAAGCACTTGTCATTGTCAAAAAATGAAATGTCTGATTGTCACGTGCCATAAGTGGGTAGGGACCGGTTTGAAAATGCAGCACTAGTCACGCGGCTGTTGCTTATTTGGCCCATGTTCATTGGGATTAAAATAAAAATTTTAATATATTTTAATAAAAATTGATTAAACGTGTTGTTGAAAAATTGTGTAATTCGTGAAATATATAATTAAAATTAATTATTAATTTTGAGTTAAATTAAAATCTGAATTTTAATCGATACCATAATTTACATTTTTCTGGAGAGAAATGTTATTCATTTCCACTGGGGATACATCCCCAGTCTATGTGGTGTTAATGTGGCATTAAATGATAAGTGAAAGTAAATAAGTCATTTAATTTCACCTATTATTAAATTAATTATTTACATTCACATAGACTGAGTATGCATCTCCATTGAGAATGAATATCATTTTTCTTTTCCGGCGTATTTGGGGTTGGGGCCACTTCCCACAATTTTGTTCTCTACTTTTATATCTTCAAAATATTCCAAGTGTTATCGTGTCGTGCTCTCTCTTCCTACCACAAATCCCACAGCAATTGCTTCGGCGTTGAGTCACTCAAATTGATAGAATTTCATTGGGTTTTGCTACCTGACGAACAGTAGCCTGACAGACGCCCAGCCAATAAGGGGGCGCCATGTGCGCCCCTGGACCCAATTATCTGACTCCCTACTTTTGCGAGATTTCTATACAAGCAGGTTTTACACCTTCTTTCATTTTATGGCGCCTTTAATAGTGATTAAAATCAGATTAAAATTGAAAAATTAATCATTATTATTGACTTTTATTAGACGAATGAGACCCAATAACAACTATATTTTCAATTTTAATTAGATTTTAAATTCTACTAAACAAGCTCTTAATGCACAAAATTTTATCATTTTTAGCCATTATTTCACTTGTGTTAACCTTTATCCTCGTTTGATTTTCATTATTTTTCAAAATACATTTTTCTCTGCTTTTTTTAGTCACATTTTTCAATAAAATAATATTACACGCAAATTCAAAATTTTTTCTTATTTTTTAACCACACATTCTCTATCAAACTATTATTCCAAAATGCATTTTAAATAAAGAACCTTATTTATGTTAATTTTATTGATCAAAATTCAAAATAATTCAATATATTTACTGCAAGTACCTTTTTATATGAGCAATTTCATTAAATTGGGAGACGGAGAGTGACAAAACTAATATAGTTAATGTATCAATTTGTCTTCGAAGTTTGGATATTTTAATTAATCGAACCGAACTGATTCGAGTCTCGTAATACAAATAGATCGAATTTCTATTTTTATATTCACAATTAAAACTAATATGGTTTGAATTTTAAGAAATTTATGGATCTTGCGTACCTCTAATTATAAAATAATAAAGAAATTTGAGTGATATTACTTATTTAATTATACGATAAATTTTATTTACTGTAACTATGCTTTCACTTTATTTAGAGTTATATTACGGTGACAAACTCAATAGCAGAATATACACGTATGAATACATGATTGGATAATTAAAAAAGAAACAACTCTCAATCTTTATCTGTCACACCGCCTGTCTATCGCATCAATGTCCAAAGAGCATAATTAATTTATCCAATTAAATAATTGTACATCAAATTTATTCAATCGAACAATTACACTTTTAATTTCACTTAAATCTAGCAACTCTGTTTAATTCCGTAACTTGAACCAAGAAATGAATGTGAGAGGAGGCAAATATATACAATCAAGTAATAAATAATTAATTATTATTAACAAAAGTTTATAAAATAATCTAAACGAAAAAAATTCACAAAAAAAGAAAACCCATTCAGCATACTAGTTACTTGTAACCACATCTGAGCCGAGCTGATCGGACGAACCGGCTAATGTGTCGTCGCCGGGGACGGTACCGGCGCTGGTAAGAAGCTCGGTGAGTAAAGTCATGGCTTTGACTTGCATTTGAAGAGCCGCTATATAATCAGTTGTTTCTTCTAGAAGGTTCGGAAATGAAAGGCTCCGGCAGCCGGGAACTACAAGGCCCAAACTTCTTACTTTCCTCTGCAAATACGGCGGCTTGTTCTTGGCAACTGGTTTCTTCAACCGATTATCGGAAGAAACTTTTGCTTTCTTGTGTTTCTTATTGATCTGAGCGAGTCGTACGCGGAGTCGACTCCTAATGATGGCTCTGCTCCAGCGAGTCCTGCCCTTGGCAGACACGGCCAGGACTCTATCGGCCGCCTCTCGGATGGATCCGCCGGAGGCGGTGTCGCGGCGGCGGATGTGGCGGAGAGCTTTGACGAGTTTGATTGAGTAATTTTTTGATTCTGACTCGGTTCTCCATCTTGGTCGTTCTGTATCGGCGATGGGAATTCCGGCTTCCTCTTCATGGCCGATTTTTCTTCGCGTTTTACGCGATGAGTTGGAGTTTGTATCGGGATTAAAAATAGATGATGATGCCATCATCAAATTGAGATTACTCTCTTTTATTCAATGAGCTGTGGGGTGGGGGAGGAAGGAGGCGGCGGCGGAGAAAAGCCTTTATGGGAGGAGTGGAGATGTATTGGCTATGGATGATTAATCGTGGGATGTTTACCCATGAAGGACAACCTACGCGTCTTATATATATATATTTATCATTACCATGATTATCATATGTTGTCCCATGAATGACCAATAATGCTATTTGCCTTCGTTAATGATTATCATCATATTTAATTATTTATATTCGATTAAGAATAATGCTATCTAATATTGTCATCCAAATTTATGTTTTAATATTAGTAGTGATAAATAACATTATTCTTGAATTTATCGTTCATTATTGTTTAAACATGATAGTCATTAGTGATATAATAAATATCATTATGCTTGACTCTTTAGATTGTTATAAGATAAAAACTTGTCTATCGTTCGCCATTGTAAATAACACAGGTCTACGTGACAACATTGTCCAATGAGCCACTTAAATTTTTTAATTTTTCGTTAGATAAGATATTACATGCAATAATATCTCTATATATTATCATTGTATCATAATGATTAGCACTTGTCTACCTTACAACATTGTCCAATAAACGAATTGAACGCCATAATTTAGGGTAAATTTTATTTTGGATTCCCAATATTTTCGATTTGAGAAAATTTTGCCTTCAATCGATTTTTATCCTCTATTTCGTTTCCAACTTTTCATTTATCATCAAATTCTGCTGTTGACCCAAGTTCATGCTAGGGTTAATTCTCTGATTGATCACTGAACTTTGCGTAAAGTTTTCAATTGTCACTGAACTTATAAAGTTTCTCCGTTAATTACCAAACTTTATAAAATGTAATCCCATCGATCACTGAGGGATGGATGGGATTACATTTTGTAAAGTTAAGTAACCTCCAGGGAACTTTAAGCAAAGTTCAACTACCAGTCAGAGAATTAACATTCGGTGACTAACAGAGAACTTTTGAAGTTTGGTGACTAATAAGGAAACTTTTGAAGTTCAGTAACCCCATAAAAATCTTATGTAAAGTTTAGTGACCAATCATGTAATTGACCCCCATTTTTATTAATTTTTATTTTTAAGTCTTTTTTCCTTTTTTGTCCGCAATTTTATTCTCTAGCATCACCAAAATAATAATAATAATAATAATAATAATAATAGCCTTTTTATCCCGAGATAACCGACAATGTTGTCTGTTGACATTTTTAAGATCAAAGAGGCAACATAGGTCCATGCACTCAACAATTTCGAAAGAGAATCCCTTTAGTGTTGATCACTTAATAGTATTGAACTTTGAAATTCATAAACATCTTCAACTAAAAATCTATTAAATTTCTAGTTTTTAGTGTGTGATGATGTAAAGATAATTGAAACTGAGCTCGTGGAACTGTAGACTAGAAATTTCTAGTTAACTACATGGACCTCTGTTGCATCTTTCATCTTAGAGAGGTCAGCAGTCAACTTTGTTGGTTAGATTTCATGGAACTGTAAATTTTTGGTTTTTGGCAAACTTTGTCGTGCCATGTGATAGTTCCATGAGCTACTTCAGTTTCGATCGTCTTTCCATTAGGACATTGCTGAGTAAAAACTAGGAATTTATTGGATTCTTAGTTGAAAATGTGTATGAATTTCAAAGTTAAATATTATCAAGTGATCAATGTTGAAGGCGTTCTCTTCCAAAATAGTTCACTGCATGGACTTTTGTTGCCCTTTTGATCTTAGATAGACCAACAAACAACATTGCCGATTACCTCGAGATAAAATATTATTCTTTTTTCTAAGTTTTGTGATGCTAGAGAGAATAAAATTGTAGGATATGAGTAGAAAAAAGAAAAAAAAAACATAAAATTTAATAAAAATATGGGTTAATTATCTGATTGGTCATTGAACTTTGCGTAAGTTTTTTAAGGGATCACTAAATTTCAAAAGTCCCTTTAGTCATTGAACTTCAAAAGTTCTCCATTAGTCACTGAACGTTAATTCCCTAGTTGGTGACTGAACTTTGTATAAAGTTCTTAGAAGGTCACTGAATTTCAAAAGTTTCCCCATTGGTCGTTGAATTTTACAAAATGTGATCTCATAGGTCACACAATGATCGTTGAAATTACAATTTGTAAAGTTTAGTGACTAACAGAAAAACGTTTGGAATTCAGTGACCACTTAAGAACTCCACGCAAATTTCAGTAACCAATTAGAAAATTAAACCTTCGTGATGCACACAAAGTTTATGCCCAAGGGCAATTTTGTCAAGTCACTTAAACCACCAATTTTTCGAAATGTCAAAGTTTGCTTTTTCACCAAACATGCTCATTTTCATGAAAACTCATCTTCTAACCTTGCTCCTGTATTGTTGAAATTTCTATATTGAAAAATCAATGCATTTGCTTGTGAAAGAAAGAAGATGCCATTGAGGAAACCGTCTGTATTCATATTCAGCTGCATGTTATCTAAATATTGGAAAAACAAAATATTGTTTGAATTTCATAAGGAGACTGAACTTTCCAATTTATAGAACTTCATTAATATATAAATAATACTTGCATTTACTTTAGAGGTAGTTTGTCTTGGTTGGTACAAGTTAAATCATGCCTAAGTTACATAAAAATGTGTTAAAATTAGGGTAAATTTGATTGTAAAAGTGGGAAATAGGTGGAAAGAAAATGTTTTACAGGGAATTGAATTGTCTAGAAATTGTTTTATTGAGAATTGTAATTAATCGTGTTTGATTAGTATAATTTTCCACTTGAAAAATGTTGAAAGTTTGGCTTCGTTTTTTTATGAAAATTGTCCATTAAACTGATAATTTTTTTCTACCATTGGGTTTAGAATTTGTTCTAATTGCTAAAAAAAAAAAATTGGAAAAAAATTATCATACCGACTACCATTCGTTTGGCTTTGTTTTGCATGAAAATTGTCAATAAAAGTGATAATTTTTTTTTACCATTGTGTCTAGAATTTTTTTCAATTGCAAAAAAAGAAAAAGAAAAAACTGGAAAATCAAAACCAACCAAAACAACAAGAATACATTTTCCTCAAAAAGCTGGAAAATAAGGAAATGTGGAAAAAAATTTCTGGGGAAAATTTTGCTATCAAACAGGTGCAAAAGTTGAAAAATGGAAAAATTTTCCTCGAAAAATCATGTCTATCAAACAGGGCCTTAGAGTAATGTTTAAAATAAAGTAGTTTTTTTTATCCTTTTTTGTTTTTTTTAAAGGCGTATTTCATTGTAGCATAATGGGCTTTCAAAAGGTGTTGATTCTTGATTGTCAATTATTGTCAACTCACAAGCTGCTGAAGTATGTGAAATGATACCACTAACTAATTGACAGCTCAATAGGATGGAAAAGATAAGATTAATACTAACAAAAACATAATGATTTGGTCTTGGTTCATTGCTCCCCAAAATGGGTTTCTTGATTTATTAATATTAATTGTACAACATGCATATATGCTTATCTTTAATTAATTATAATTGCTATAATGTGACAGCCAAACAATCCCTTTGTTTTTTTTGTCATCAACAGTTGGTTTTTGGTAATTAGGTCATTGACTTGCTAACTCCTCTTATTTGTATGCTATGATAGAACAGCCTCTACTTTGGCCTTTTCCTGTTGGAAATTATTGAGAAGAATGTTTTTTCGGTTGATTCCAAGATAAAGAATAATCTATCAACCCAGAATATACCTTTTTAGGCCAAAAGTTTATGAATATATCTTAGAATTGAGTCCCACAATGATCTATCATCGACTCTAAATAATTTTAAATTACACATTTCAAATAAGATTCCGATCGTCACTTCTCTGAAAGCATGGTTCTTGCCCTACTCCCTCCTTTGAGTTGGTCTATAAGAATTGGAAGACTCTTGTATGTACAGTAACGTTGTCTTCTATTGCTGGTTGACCGTTGCGATTTTCTTTAATTATATAATCTTGTAACTTCTGGGAATCAATCAGAAGTTAAGTCGTGCTTCCCTCTAATCCAGTTGCTTTTGAGGGGAAGAAGCAAGTAGATAATATAACGAGTTATAACGAAAAGAGATTAATATTTAACTTGTAAACAAAAATAAATGTTGATTATTCTTGATGCACTTGAGTCCTATCATGCTTTTGATTAGTGTTTTACAGCTTCAAAAGGTAGATATAACTGAAAGTGAAAGAACAATTTTAAGTTTATAAGATGATGATGTCCAACCAAACATGAACACCAGAAATACAAAAATAGAATATCGACCAATGGAGGCCCACAAAATTATCATTTCAATTGGTTGTTCTTTCATTAGGAAAAAGAAAGCTCTCGTGAATTTCTAATTGAGTGACATGTTCGATAAGGGGACTAGAAAATCATGTGTTGAAAAACATAAATAAATTAAAATTTTGCTTAGTGTTTTGTTCTTCTTGTTACAAGTATACATTAGTGGCATTTTTAATATTATGTCTTTTTGGCACTAAACACAAAATAAGTTAGGGAGTGGGCGTGGGAGTGATTTATTAAATACATACTAAAATTGGACTAGAAATTATATATTTATAACATTGGTAGAAAAGAAAGGAAGTCAAATATTGCATGGAGAGAGAGAGAGAGAGAGAGAGAGAGAGAGAGAGTCATGTATGAATTATGATTTATTAATTAGAGAGAGGGGTTGACGTGGGAGTGAATAAATTAAGGGAAGAATACATAAATCTTGTTTTTATTTATACATATTTTAAAAATATCAAAACATGTTTCAATT